ATCAAGTTACAACCTATTTCTTTATCTTTTATCAAAACAGTAACTAGCGTTTTATATGTGCAACTGTGCAAGAGCTCAGGTCAAATATAAACTGAATGAATTGATACTATTTTTCAGTGCATTCATGCGGATACTTGTGGTCATATTACATACGAGCTGATGCCAGATATTTGGATAAAGACAGAAGGTGGTTTCCACTACATTTATAGCAACGAAGTTCCTGCTGGCATTCGTAGCTCCAAGACAAACATTTATATTCGTGCATTGATCCTTGTGGTAGCTCTTCACTTGGTTTTCTATTTGGTGGTTCAGAGAAAAAGCATTGAACCTCTTTGGGAGTCACTCTCTTTCTACTGGTCAAGATTATAAATTTCTAAAATGTCTGAATTTGATATTAAATGTAATACTTGGGTCACTTGGATTTGTATTTGATGCATTTTGTAATTGATTTCTAAGTGTGAGATTATAAAATGTTACTGCAAAAAAGGATGGAGCCAGAACTTCATTTCTGTGGTGTTAAATGTTAATACGGAGTAGTTTTTAAGTTTAATGTTATTTAGAGATAGAATGAAAATATAAAATGAATTTGTTGATAGTTGTATTTATTTAAGATGCAATTGATTCAATTTCTATAAGAGTAAATCAATTTAAAATCTCAAAATAGAAGTGCTATATTTTTAGTCACCAAACTAGAGTAATTACTGTGGAATTTAGAAAACTTTGTCATGTTTATAGCATGACAAAGTCAAACCCATCGAAAGTAACAAAATTTGACTCAAGTAGTATATTTTGATTCCTGATTTCACAATTTTCATAATCGGCCATATCAAATGGCCAAATAGTCTTAATTTTTTGATACAAATGTTGCGGTTCCTTTGGACCACATTTTTCCGAATAAATGTTACGATTCTTTTACAATTGCCACAAATAGTTCAAAATGTGAATCAATTTAGATGGAGGGTGAGGGTAGATGACAACCATGATGTATGGTTGATTGATTCTATGATTCTAATATAAGTTCTAAAAGTTTTCTCGTTATATATCAAGTGTTAGCCTTTTTTTTATCATCAAAGAGCGGTCATTATATTAAAATCGATAATGCATTCAAGACAATCTTCAAACAGAATTTACAGATCCAATCGTGAACCCTAGCAGTAGATTTTGAGTCAACCACCTTATACAAAGTAACATGACTCGCTAAACCTGATACGGGAAAATTTAGGCTTAAAACTATCGGAACCGAAACCATGTCTATCAAAAGAACTCCAAAAATCCAAACATTCAAACCAAATCTACTCGGGCTAAAACAGAAACAAGTGCTACTAAAGAAAAAATAATACTGAAATAAGATCTTGTTAGAAAGCTCTTCCTGATATGGAGGTGGTTCCGGAGGAGGACGAGCTCTTGCAATATGCGTGAATATCAATTCCACCCGTGGAATGGCCGACCAAAGCTTCACGATCCACTCTCAATACAACATCCCAGCCGCACCTAGTTCATCCGCCAACGTTATCTTCTCAGACGTAGTTGCAATTTCAAGCGTTAGAACACTTAAAATAAGTATAATCTACCACTCCAACCCCATATTGATAAGGGCGGCGGAAAATCTCAACCCCTACAAAGAGGAGAGACGGCCGCTCGGGTTCCTCTCTCTAGAGAGAACCCCGAGAGAGTTTTTCAACAAAAAATTAAGTAGTACATATCAAGTGTTAGCCTAAAAACTAAAAAAAAAAACTTCTTCTTTATATATCTTATTTTTACTAATATTTATATTAATATGAGAAAATCAACTCGCAAGATTAAAAAGTAGAAAATCTTAAAATAATTTCTTTAATTTTTATTTTAGTATCAATAAATATGATTATGGGATGGATAAGGAACAAATATTCATATAACTTTATCCGCCATGCGAGGTAGTTTAATGTATTATAATAATTACTTCATTATTCAACAATAATTTTTAGTCACAATGTAACCATCCAAAGGTAATTAGGATAACCATGTACAATGTGTCAATGTTTGGTTATTAGATGAATCATAAGTCTTTTAATAGAAAACCAATCTAAAAAATACACTCAAAATATTTTGATTTCATAAATTCATGAAATAATTTCATAAGTAAGAAGATCTTGATAATCAAACAGGCACCAAATTTTCAAACTTTTTACTTTTACCACTGTGATTTGGATTGTATAAATATTAGATATCCATGGTTTTGAAATCGCATATACAATAAATGTTCATGTTTATGTAGAAGGTTAAAAAGCGATTGATGACCTTGCACGTATTAAAGAATTTAGTGTTTAAGTTTAGTGTTGATTAAATTTGTGCATTTCGAATGAAGCAGGCACAATCTATCTTCAAACTACTAATATAAGTCCGATTGAAAATAATCAATGTCTCAGTTCAATTCATTCTATAATTATGTGACTCTTAAGAATAAGACCCTGTAAAAATTTAATAGGCCAAACTGAAAAATGATCACCAAGTTGTTGTATACTTTGGGTTCATTGTATGAACTTCCCTTCAAATGTAGGTTATGTGCATTATCCCATATAGTTTAAAAAATACATCAAAGTGTCATGTGTTGTGATAAGTTGCATGCCTTACTCTACAATAAGAAATTTAATGTTTGGATAAAACAATATTTTTACTATTTTTGTGATTATACTTGTAATTATTCGGCAATGATGAGTTCGCGGTTCTGTGAATTGTCTAAGTGCACTACCTTAGGCCAAAGGTGGAGGTTGTTAATATATTGTTGGCCCAATCATTTTTTGCATATTAACAATGGTTAACACCCTTTTTAGCAGTCCGCTACACTGTGCCCATTTATCTGTCTGGCTTATTAGTATTTTTCTCTCCTGTTAGAATTCAAATTGAACTCATTATTGAGTGTCCTTGTGAGTCCCTCCTTATAAGGTCAAATTCTTCCCTGATATATGGAAACCCCTACACCCTTTGTTCTCTGAGTGAAACACAAACCAAAGAGTTTCATTAGTTGAACCTTTTCTTCCTGGCCGAGAGAGTGCTCCAAGTGAGGCAGCTTTCCTTCTTCTTATTCTTGTTGAGGTGAGGAGTGTGAGTGTCGGCAAGGGTGTGTTGCTCCCTTAGTCTAGGTGTGCACAAGAGACACCGGAAAATTGACGTCCGGACTGCCTGAGCCGGAATACGTCGACGGAATCGATCCTCAACACTACGCAGAGGCGGCCTTAGGGGGAGTTGGGCCAGGCAAGTGCCTTGGGCCTCACATTCCAAGAGGGCCTCAAAAAAAAAATTACCTATTAGTATTGCCTATTAATCCCCAATTATATGTATAATAATAATAGAAATAATAAATTAGTTATCTGGATTCTGAAATCTCCATCTGGGCCGTGGATGTGGAGCGGTGGAGTCTAATTTACGCATACGGCTACAGGCCCCCAACTCTGAAATCTCCAAGTATCTGCCCTTCCGCCAAACTTCCGAATTCCGATTTGTCGACAACTTGAAGAAATCACCTGTTCTGAACTGCTGGCCTGCTGCTGCTCGAGTGCTGGGTCTGCTAGTCGCTGCCTTGCCGACTCCGTGAGTAAGGTAAGTTTGCTCAAATTGCTCTCTTATTTCTATAATTTCTATCCTTAGTAATGAAATACATGTGTTATAATCTGAAATTTCTAAAGCATAAAGCCATAAAGGAACTTGGGCTGTAAAGGGGCCAACCCACCGACCTAAAGTAAATTAAGTAATACGTAGTAAATGCTAAGATAAAGTGGCAGACAAGTAGTCTATTTGATAGTAAAGTAGTTATTTTGTTTAATTTGTCATTGTATTTAGAAGAATAAAAGTTTTACGTTTTTTGTTAATTAATTTGTGATTTTTGTTACTTTGTATTATCTATGAATATTGTCTTTAGGAGCGTCTTTAGTATGACGGGTAAGCGGAAATTTGAATCGGGGTCTACAAAAAGAAAGAATAGGTTGCGGAAAGATTTGGTTATACAGTCGTTTGCCGGCTCTATGGATCGATTTGTAAAGACAAATCCTTCTTCCTCAAATATTGTTGACAATGACAATACAATCCCTGTCTCTGAGAATGAGAATAATAGTGCAAATATTGGAGAGGAGAATGAGAATGTTAATGCTCATAGGGACAGTGTAATTGTTGATGAGGAAGAGATTGTAGGTGAAGTCACTATGCCCGAGATATTAGATGATTTCTTTGACCCGGGAAATTGGAAAGCACCCATATCTCAAAGCCAAATAGATTTGTTGGTAGAGAGAGGTCCTATAAGAATAAGTGGTCTTCAATATCCCGTTGATAGGAAAAGGAGTTTCAATGACAAACTCTATACTCGATGCTTGGGAAATGGAGAGAGATATGATAGACCATGGTTGGTTTACTCTTTGATAAAAGATAAAGTCTTTTGCTTTTGTTGTGTTTTATTCAAAAAAAGTGTGCTGCTAAACCCTCTAACAAGTGTGGGTCAAGGCTATAGTGATTGGCACAACATACATTGTAGACTTGTAGAGCATGAAAAGAGCTTTGATCATATCCTTAGCATGGAAGCATGGAGGGAAGCGGAAATGAGGTTAAAAAAAAAAGGTAACAATTGATGCTTCCCGAGAAATAGCTATCAATAAAGAGAAGGAGTATTGGAGAGCTGTTTTAAAGAGGATTATGATTGTTGTCAAGACTCTTGCTACTTGCAACATAGCTTTCCGTGGCCATAAGGAGAAGCTTTCTCATGAAAATAATGGAAATTTCTTGAGCATTATTAACATGATTGCAGAGTTTGATCCTATAATGGAAGAGCATCTCAGGAGAATACGGAAGAAAGAGATCCGAAATCATTATCTTGGTCATAATATACAAAATGAGATGATACAACTTTTGTCAAATGAAGTAAAAAAAAATCCTTCAAGTTGTTCGTAGTGCAAAGTACTTCTCTGTTATTCTTGATTGCACACCGGATGTTAGTCATGATGAGCAAATGACACTTGTGATTCGATGTATAGATTTGTCTACAAGCCCTATAAGAGTTGAGGAGTTTTTCATCACATTTGTTAAAGTCATTGAGACAACAGGTGAAGCCCTATTTGACGAACTTAAAAAATTGCTTGACACTCATGAACTTGACTTTAATAATGTAAGGGGACAAGGTTATGACAATGGCTCAAACATGAAGGGAGATAACAAAGGGGTACAAGCTAGGGTGTTACGAGAATATCCTAGAGCATTTTATACTCCTTGTGGTTGCCATTCTTTAAACCTCGCCCTTTGTGATATGGCTATGAGTTGTGTACAAGCAAAAACATTTTTTGGTGTGGTGCAACGCATCTATAAATTATTTTCAGGTATGATCGTAATTTTTTAACTTCATTTCAGTAGTTTTTATTACTTTTATTTTATTACTAATTAACTTTAACAATACTCTTTTTATAATTAAATATCTTTCAATTTAGGTTCAACCAAACGATGGGAGGTTCTGAAGATGTACCTTAAAGATGGTGATGGAAATGGTCTCACTCTTAAATCATGGTCAGATACACGTTGGGAAAGTCGTGTTGCTAGTGTTAGAGCTATAAGGTTTCAAGGGCCGCAGATACAACAAGCATTAGAACACTTGACCAAATGTAGTAACGATCCTAGCACTGTGAGTGATGCAAAGTCCATATGTGAGTATGAAATGAACTTTGATTTCCTTGTTGCTATGGTAATCTGGTACGAGATACTCAACAAGGTAAACAAAGTTAGCAAAGTCCTCCAACAGAAAGATATGATCATCAGTTCAGCCATTACTCTCTTGAAAGGTCTGATTGCATATTTTAAAGATTATAGAGAAGATGGATTTGAGAAAGCCAAAGTTGAAGCTGAAAAATTGGCGATTGAATTAAATATTCAACCCCAATTTCGTGAAACACGAGTTCGTACCAAAAAGAGGTTTTTCGATGAAAATGCAATGGACGAACCGATAAAATCAGCAGAAAGTGCATTCAAGTTAACTTACTTCTTGTTTGTTGTTGATAATGCTATATCTTCACTTACTACTAGATTTGAGCAGTTTCAAAAATACGAGAATACATTTGGATTCTTGTATGACTTAAGTAAGTTGAAGGGACTTAGCGATGAGCAATTGATGAGTTGTTGTGACACGCTTGGCAATTTCTTGAAGCATGAGGACAATTGTGATATTGATGTAGTTGAGCTGTTTTCGGAACTACAGTTGCTTGGAAAATCTTTACCGGACTGCACAACAAAAGTGATTGAAGTGTTGGAGTACATAAAAGATATGCATATTTCTTTTCCAAATGCTTGGATTGCTTACAGGATTTTGTTGACCATTCCGGTGACAGTGGCTACTGCAGAAAGAAGCTTTTCAAAGTTGAAGCTTATAAAAAACTATCTACGATCAACCATGTCGGAAGATAGATTAAGTGGCTTAGCTATTTTATCTATTGAAAAAAAAGTATTAGCTACTCTTGATTGTAGTGATGTTATTACTGATTTTGCACTTCAAAAGGCAAGAAGAATAGGCCAATAGGGTGTTACATGTACAAGTTTGTGATGTATTTTGCATACATTTGTACTATTGCCTTTAAAACTTATCCTTTTGAATATTAAAAATATTATATCGTACACTTTGAATATTAAAAGTATTTGTCTGTCTAGCCGTCTAGGGCCTCCAAAATGCCGTAGCCGCCTCTGACACTACGGTGTACGTATAACCTAATTCATATACTAATACACACTATACACTACGGTCTACGTATAACCTAGCTAATTCATATACTAATACATACTATAAGCACTTTAATAAAATTACTACTCTGTATAATATTATCAAGGAAACCAAGAAATGATGCATATTGGTAAAATGCATGTAATGGAGGCTACAAAAGCATTACTCTTAACTAGAGATTGCTAAAATGCATGTAGTAGATGCATCAAAAGCATTACAAACTCTTAACTAGTCAAAGGTTTCTAACTTGTCTTTATTGGTGGACATGAGGACGTCCCATTTAAACAGGGGCGGAACCCGGCAGGGGCGAGCAAGGGCCGGCGCCCCTCTTCACCGAAAGTGCTAGGGTAGTTATAATTAGTATACTCATGGCGCCCCGCCGCCCCCTTCTTCTATGAATTTAAAGGTTTTCGTTTATATTTACGGAAATAAGTAACATTGTTAAAATTTCTAAGAAAAAAAGTTACATCGTTAAATGATAGCTTATCATCCCATATTAAAAATAACACATCCATAACATTACAATTATCATCAATTACCCTCATTATATTATGTATTAATCTAAATTACGAGTTAATTTGGTATATATACGGAGTACTTAAATTCATAGATTAAAAGTACATACCTAGTAAATTGACAATATAAATTGGGGGTTTTTACTTGGATATTACTAATTTTGAACCAATTACCCAAAAAGTGACCACTTTTAAAAAGGGGCAAAAAAGTGATCAAAAAGGTCATATATGTGCAATTAGAAAACATGATGTAACTGCAAAAAACTTATGTCACTGCGTGTTCATTTTTTGTAACTGCAATCACCACCCATGTCACTACAACCACCGTCCGTGTCACTGTAGCCACCACCCGTGTCACTGTGGTCACCGCCCGTGTCACTGTAGCCACCGCCCGTGTCACTGTAGCCACCGCCCGTGTCACTGTAGCCACCGCCCGTGTCACTGTAGCCACCACCCGTGCACCCCGAGCCCCCTCCTATGCACCGCCGACACCACAGTTGATCCCTACCCTGCCAACCAGCCCCTCCCCAACCCCTCCCCAGCCAACCAGTCCCCCTCCCAGCCCCTCCCCTGCCAACCAGCCCCCTCCGCAACCCACCAGACCCCTCCCCAGCCAACTAGCCCCACTCTCCAACCCACCAGTCCCCTTCCCCAGCCAACCTGCCCCCCTCCCCAACACACCAGCCCCCCCAGCCCCTCCTTTGCCGCCCAGCCCCTCCTTTGCCGCCCAGCCCCTCCCAAGCCAACCAGCCCCCTTCCATGCACCCCAGCCCCCTCCCCTTCACCCCCACCACCTGCGACCACCAAATCCCACAACTGCAGGTAGCCTGCAGCCACCACTTACCAGCCTCCTCTCCATTCCCCATCCCTGTCAGCCCGCTGCCCCCGGCAACCGGCAACCGCAAGCCCCACTAGCCCCCCAACCCGCCTCAGCTCCGAGCCCCTGTAAAATCGCTGTCCAACACACCCCAGCCGGCCAGGCCTACAACCACCGCATTCCTCCACGCCACCACCGTCCACTGTTGCACTTCATCCTGTAACTCATCCGATCACAACCTTAGCCGCCAATATCAGATCTAAAGCTCTAATCGTGCCATCTCCGTCTCAATCGAAGCAATCACAGAGGTAGTGCTCCAGATCTGTGGCGAGTTACTGTATACGAAGAAAGGAGAGGAAGAAGAGGTAATTCAGCACCGGCCCTCTTCTCCAAGGTCATCTCCGTCGCCCACGTCGTCATCTCTGTAGTGTCGTCGTCGTCACCTCACCATCTGAATCGAAGCCTCTTTGAAAGGTCGTTGGAGAAAGGTGAATGTCGGATCTTGTGAGGAGATGACTGGCGATGGAGAGGGAGTGCTTGAAGATGGAGGATGGCAAACTCTGGCGGAAGAGGAACGAGAACAGGCAGAAGACGAAGGGAAGTGAGGGTCTACGAACGAGATTTATTTTTAAATTCAGTCACTTTTTTGCCCAATTGAAAAGTGCTCATGTTTTTGTCATCTCAAACCTTATAGATAATATCGGTGCCATTCTTTCTATAAATTGTCGCCTTCTTGCTTTAATTAAGGTGTTCCCGTGTATTTTATTTCTACGAGAATACGAGTCCGTTTGGTAACACTAAAATTGGCTGAATTGGCTGATTTTGCTGAAATTTATGATATTCTGGCTGAAGTGGCTGTATTTGCTGATTCAAATGATATACTCCCTCCGTCCCGCTATTAACTTCCTGCTTTCCTTTTTGGGCCGTCCCAAAATCATCTTCTCATTTCCCTAAATGGAAAGTTATCCTGCATCAAAACAGTGTCAAACAGTGCAAAACAGCGTCAAACAGTGTCTAAACAGTGCCAAACAGTGTCTAAACAGTGCCAAACAGTGTCTAAACAGTAAAGTCAAATTTATTTCTTGAATATGTGTGTAGGTCAAAGTAGGAAGTTAATAGCGGGACGGAGGGAGTATAAAAAAATATATTTAAAATATTTGTTATTAATAAATAAAATAAAAAATTACTCCGTATATGAAAAAGTAGTTAAAATGATACTCCACTCTACAGTAACTTCAGCCAATACAGTCACAAAATAACTTCAATCTTATTTTTTCTTATTATTACATATTTAGTGCACAAAATCAAAAGTTATGTGTTTCGTGAAAATACCTAATTTATACCTAATAAGTTCAATCCCTTAATTTATCAGGGACTGGGATGTTGAGAATTGTGTTGACATTAAAAGCCTCACTTTGACTTATGCTTCAACCTTTAATGAATGGCAGTGGTTTGAACTTCATGCTCCAGTGATTAAGACTCTTCACTTTTCTGCATGTACGTTTGGGGTGAGAATCTTGCCTTTCATAAACCGTTGTTTCATTCATAATGAATTGTGGTGATACATCTGATTTTTAGCTCTTCTTGTGAGAGTTCTTGTTTCACTCAAGGTTAACAAATTGTTTATTGTTATGATGTTGTCTCTTAATTTTACTTTATTTTAGGGAAAACATGATGATGAATTAGATATACAAGAGATCACGATCCCAATGATCCCAATTGCAGTAAATCTGCATGTGATTACGCTGGACGAGTTATGTTTTTGTTTCCCGGAGCCCCTTGCTCTTGTGATTCAACTTCTTCAAAAATCTCCGAAGCTCTCCCAACTGGAAGTTGAGACAGCACATGAGGTTATAATATCCAACAATTACCCTATGTGATTAAGATCTGGGGGTGTTTATGTTCTAATATTTCATTTACATCGTTGTGCTGCAGTCATGGTCGAGGGATTATTGTCCAAGTATTCTGGAAAAACGAGACACATGGTTTAGTGATCAACATCTGTGCAAGCTTAAAACACTTCAGGTGAAAGAATTTAGAGGATCAAGAACACAAATGCACTTGATCAAAATAATCCTTTCAGCGTCTCCCGCGCTTGAGGAAGTTGTTATTATGAAATCGAAAAATTATCCGCTAGATTTGTCTGAGGCTCTCGAAATCACAACAAAGATGATCAGATCCCCTCGCGCGTCTCCAAAAGCACAAGTTATCATCCTGGACACCAAATGAAGCTACACCAGACTGGTTGATTTGTTACTGAACATTATTAGGCTATTTGCTCCCAGGGTTCTGATTGTGCATATAAAGAGCACAGAATTTTGATCACTTGTTAGTTGTGATGTTATTGATCACTTATTAGTTGTGATGTTAGATAATTGGGTTGTATCTAGTATTCTCCATTCTCATTTTGTGACTGAAAGTTTCTCAGATTTTATTTCATGGTTGAAACTTGAAACTTATGTTCTCTGAATTACAACTGCTAGCAATTTAATTCCCTTAATTTATCCTAACTGTTATTAAATCACATCCCGTTTCTTTACCTTTTATCTAAAAGTGAATAACTAATGTTTTGTACGGGCAATGCCCAAAAGCTCATGCCAAATTTAAATTGAATGAAGTAATACTATTTTCATTGCATTCATGCGGATTACTTGTGTAGTCATTACATATGAGCTAATGCCAAATATTTGACTTTTTTTAAGTGAAACAATGCCAAATATAGAGGCCGTTTGGCAGCACTCTTTTTCAACTTATCAGGCTTGTCAACCAACATTTTCACCAAACACGCAACTTTTACTTTCGCGCGTTCAATTGTGAAATAAGTTGAAGAAGTATGGTTGGAGTTACTTTTGTGGCTATATTGGCTGAAGTTACTGTAGATGATCATTTTAACTATTTTTACATATAATTTTTTCTTTAAATTTCATTAATAAAATATATTTTACAGATAATTTTTCTTAAATCAGCAGAGTGACAATGCAGCCACTTCAATAAGAACTTCATAAATTTAAGCATAATGAGTCAAATCAGCCGATTTTGGTGCTGCCAAACGGGCTTATAGACTCAAAGTATATGTTGATGTTAGACGTACAACCTAATTCATATTCATATACTGATCTACACTGCAAGCACTTCAATAGCTCTGGAAAAAGTTATAACTACGAAGTACCACTATTATTTAGAGAAAATTGTTAAATAGGAGTAAAATATATGAAGTGACACATTTTTTCTAACAGCAGTAACATTTTTTTGTTTTTAAAACAGAACTCATCCACTCTTGTTTTGGAAAGTTTTTATGATTTTTATTATTTTAATATCACTAAATAAATGTCACTTTGAGAATAAAATATACGATTCCTATTTTAAAACTTTGTCCACTTTTTTTTTTCTATTTTGAGCAATACCTTTATCTTAATTAGAACTAAATGAGTCATACTATTAGCTCTAACTTTTTGCTCTTATTTATCATTTATGAAAGAATAATAACTTATAAAAACTATCGAATACATCATTATTCACTGCATTGTAGTACTTTATGGTCTTGTCTCACTCTAAGCTTTACAAACATCATTAAGAATGGTGCTCCATCAACAATTCATATGATAAGCACGGTTCACGTGAAAAATTAAATCCAATATGCATTGATAATATTAACAAATTATACTACGTACTGCGTACATATTTGCAATCATTTAGGCCCACCATACATTACATATGGAGATATGATCGAGTACAAAACCACATATCTCGATTAACAAAGAGACCTTATATTTCTCAAGGTTTTAACTAATGGGGAACAAGGGGGCCAAGGAGCATGCTAAGACATATACAATTCACCACACCTTGACCATATGATTAGCAGCCTAATTAGACTAGTAACCATTAACTAGCAGTTAATGTAAATTCTAATAATGTGGGAGATATCATCAAGAAATAGAAGAAAAAAGAAACAAAATTGAAAATCTAACAGGACAGTCCTATCTTACAAGTTAGTGCCCCTGCAAACCTAGTAATCCAAGTCACTTCCTCCCCTTTGAATGGCCTTATCCCATCATAGAGCTTAGCATGTTTTGACGTAAACTTAGGGTCCCCAGATTCAACGAAGAATGCTCCATTCATGAACACATCCCCTTCTGATCTCCAAGTCCATTGCCTCCATTCTTCGGGGGTCCCGGATGCTCGATGTGTTACCTACATAATATATAATGTACAAAACTTCAAATCATGGTCAAAACTACGAAGCACGAACGATTGTGTCAATGAGCACATAGTTTTTGTTTCAGAACCTCTACAAAAACTCTTTAAAAACTCTATAAATAATTATTTCTAAATTGAAAATTACGTTTCTCACGTTTCACATTTCACGTTTCTCCATATATATTCCCCATGTTTCTATGCAACATTGCAACAAATTATTAAACAAGTTCAAGACATGCATGCACACACTACATACCATATGATCAATATATATAGACATTGCTTAATGAAATAGAGTCCATTTTTACTTATTTGAATGTGTATTTAGGTACCTCTTTCTTGAAGATGTCTGGAGGAGCAATGAACCGGTTTCCTTGACTAATGATGGTGGGGTGAGAACTGCCTCCAATGGCGTACATGTTCCAATGAGTGTAATCATTGTTGACAACATGAATATATCCATACCGACACCTTGGCATTCTTTGCACTAATCTCTTCCCAAAGTGGTTGAAAGCAATTGTGATTTGCATAATCTCATCTTTTTTGGAAAAATCATTTGCACCAAACAACATCACCTACATCATCATCATCATCATCATCATCATCATCATCATCATTAACTTCAAATTGAGTCTTCCCGGTTTTTAATAAGGATTGGTCATACGCATGTTATAAAAACTGTAACTATATAAAGTTTCAACCCAACATATGAAACATTTTATGTATAGACCTGTTTAGTTTATTATATACCTCGTTGTGGTCAGTGAAGTGGCTGTTTGAAATGGTGATGGCCGTGGAGGCCTCAATGGCATCAATAAGGCCATCATAGCAATTCTTCATGGAAACGTGATCTATCCAAATGTCCGATGAGCCGAATATGGAAATTCCATCGCCATCGCTCACAGTTCGAATCCCGAAGTGTTCGACTGAGTCCCTTACAAGACCACCGGTACCTATGACGATGTTATGAATGTGGATCCCATGAATGATAACATTCCTAATGAATTGGAGGGTGATCCCGGCCCCACCACTAATGTGTACCTGTGCCCCACGACCGTCGATCGTCTTGTCACCTTGCATGATCAGCTCCTGGTGAAGCCTAATGTTCATGTCATGCGCAAAGGTGATCCACAACGGTTCCTTTTGGATCACGGCGTGTCGGAGGGAACCTGGTTTAGGATTCATAGAATCGTCAGAGAAGTCTGTGACAACGTAGAACCTCCCGTTCTTGCCACCTTTGGCTTTATAGCCAAAGCCGAGGCCGCAATCGGCCAATCTCTTCCTATTGGTTGCCCAATGGGGATCGCAACGCCAGCACCGATCGATCGGGTTCGTGGCGTTGCATGGCCCCATATACTTTTTTGTACCTAGGAGATGCCTTCCTGTACTATTGTCTGTTCCGTCAGCAAACTCATCTTGTGACTCCAATAATGTCCTGTAACGTATTTATATGTATTACACCAATAAAAGAAACTATTAACATGCAATGGTACATACATATATATATAATAATAAACAAGAGCACAAACTATGACACACTTTTCAACTTGGCTATTTAAGGTATTTGTAACATTATGAGGCTCTGGCTCATATGTCTTGAGGGCGTGATCCCAAGCTTCTATTGCACGCCTTCGCCATACTTCATCATACTCAACAATGTGACCAAACGTTGGGGGGATTATAAACCCAATGAAGGTAAACAAAATGGGAAAAAGACTAAAGTAATTAGAATTTATATGAAATCCCTTCATTTTAATTACTGGGATTTTTTATAATATTTTTTGGGTTGAACCCGGATGGTTATTTTTGGATCCAACCCTGTTAATTTGACCTTTCCGACCGAACCTCCACACAACTTTATTTAGAGGTTTGGTCGTAACAATTTATTAAGGTAGATAATTAGGTGTTAGTGTTAGTTTAAATGTGCTTATTGAGCTTGTCATGATTTATACGGGAGTATGTAACAACAGAAATTGGCATTACCATCCCTTCACTTGCGGTGAAATTCCTCCCATCCACACAAAAATCAATGAAAAAATATTAACCTTACTTTCAAGAAATAATCGATGAAAGCTCTTTGAACAAGGATACAACAAGCCTATATCGTGGCAGAGTGACAACATACAAGTCGCATTAAAGTGACATGTGTTGTACTTCAAGCTAACTTTTTGAAATTTTGGTAGATGAAATGTCTACTCTTTCCATACATATGACAACAAGAAGGATAGAATTAAATTATTGTGGTTGGCTCGAAATAAAGTTTTCACTTTTCTTTTGTGTATATTGTTTTTCCCTTTTTGAAAATGTTAGTGTTACTAACATTCATTTGTCATTATTTTACTTAACCACAGTATATTTTTACTTTATTCTCACCTTCTCAAGCTCCGATCTAAATCATACCGGGAAGAACTTTATGGAACACAGGAAGTAAAAAAAATCAATAAGAAATTTAACTATTCTTACATTATGCCTATGTTTGCTTGATTTGACATACATTAAGTGTTTATTTAGAAAGAAAAAAAACTTTTTATCTTACATAAATATGCGTTCAAGTCAAATTGAGAACTATTTTACAGAGTAGTAGAGGAGTAGCTGTATCAACTATAATACACAAATCCTATCACATATTTCTGTAAACAATTATTTGCACATACAAAATCTAAAGCATTTACAGAAGCTCGAGGGCCGTGGGCCGGTTCGCTCCCCAAGCCACGCCCCTACACATACTTTAAACTGATGACAGAATTGTAACGGTTAGTTTTGGAACCAAAATCACATAAAAAAAGATGACACCCCATCCCTGAGGGCCCCCCAACACCGACCGGAGGGCACGATGGGAGGATGCATGTAAATTGGACTATAATCACAATCTGACAGATATAGACAGTGGGGCTCCAATTCAGAACTTGAGGTTCACTAGTCCAATTTGATTCTCCAAAAAAATGGGAAAAGGGGCAAATAAGCCCTCGAACTAACAAAAAAAGTGCAAATCACCCCTTATGTGGGAGGTTCTGTCCGGCCATCGTCATTTGGGGCAGTTCCCAGTGGAATGTTTTGATGAAATTTTTTTAGCATCTTCTTTATTAAGTCTAGTTTACCCAGACGGCCATACCAAATTTCAGCTAAAAACTAAACCATGAAAGCAGTCAAATGATTTTTTGAAATATACTGTGATGTTTAACTGCACATTTATCTTCAAAAATTCATTTGTCTGCCTTCCCGATTGAATTTTTGTCTAAAATTTGGTATGGGTAAACTAGACTTAATGAAGAAGATGCTCAAAAACTTTTATCAAAACATTTCACCGGGAACCTCCCCAAATGAGGACGGCCTGACAAAGCCTCGTAAATAAGGGGTGATTTGCACTTATTTTATTAGTTCGAGGGTTTATATACCCCTTTTCCCAAAACAAATTGATCCAGAACTGCATGGAATTGTTTTCAATAATTAATAAAAAAAATAATGATAATAATACTAATAATAGTAGTAGGACAATGTGTTCTAAAAATAAAAATAGCAATGGTATTTAATTAGTTATTACTTTCGTGAGTTCGTCCCGTTCAAAGGTTCCCATTACTCCCTCCGTCCCTTATAACTTTGCCAACTTTCCTTTTTTGGATGTCCCACTAACTTTGCCACTTTCCCATTTAAGTAAAGAATTTGTGGTTCCAGTTAATTCTCTCTCCTCTGCACAAACCTCAACCACACAGTTTTTACTTTATTAATCCCCGTGCCAGTCAAACTTGGCAAAGTTATTAGGGACGGAGGGAGTATTATAAAATGACATGGTTATTTGGAAATTAACTAAATATGCTAATTAGAGTATATTTTTAGAAATAGTTTGATGGGTGTATAATATAATGGATTATTAATAAAAACTGTGATGTTATAAATGTAATATTTTTACAAAAATTCTATAGGTACCCCAAAATGTACCCCATTTTGTACCCACTCCCTGAATTGCCTGTGTACACAGGCAATTCGTTTGAAAGAGGGCATGACTTTCTGTCCAAATGTCTGTGTACACAGGCAGTGTACAGATTGGGGTACAAATTGGGGTACCCCAAGTAGGACTCATATTTTTAATATTTGATGATTAAATTGTTATTTAAGAATGTTAATTGTTTTCTAAAATAGAAAGTAAGAACCTTTTAACTGGTGATAGCCTTTGAATGAGAGGGAGAGAGTACTAGTTATAATACCAAGTATTTTTATTACAATTACGTATAACAATACGTATTTTACTAATCAACCACATTATTTTAAATTATACTACCTCCGTCTCACTAACATTGGGACATGAGAAGGTAGTGTGATCATTAAGAAAATTAAAATGGATTTCTGTGATTGATATTAAATTCATTAAGTAATACGGAGTAATAAATTAAAAATGATTTAGAATCACACAAAATTTACCAAATTTGGCATGAAACGATCTTAATTGGACAGACTAAAAAGGAAAGATGAAACAATCTTAGTGGGACAGATGAAGTATTTTTTATATTTCCACATCCTAATTATAAGTATTTGGTCTTAACTGCCTAATTTGTTTACTTAGTTATAACAATATTAAATATTAATTATAATATGTAGTAGTTATTTCGTAAGAACGGAAGATTTACCCTAATAGGACCAAAACATGGCTTTTTCCCCAAAATAGGAACATCTAGTTTAAACATCCTTAAATAGGACTTTTTAGGGTTGGTTTGCAAACGCTTTAAAAAAAGCATTTCTCAGCGTTTGGCTTAAAAAAACACTTATTTTACCAAACACTACAACTTTTATTTTTATCCGCTTTCGTGTCAAAAGTGCTTTTACTTTTTCTATTACACAAAAAGCACTTATTTTACCAAACACTACCAACTTTTACCTTTCAAAATCCTTCTTTTCTCAACACTATCAACTTTTATTTAATCGCTTCTCCCCATTTCATTAAAAAAAACATTTTTTTAAACCAGAAGATGTTGCAAACAAACCCTTATTATTAGTGATTGGACCAAAATACCCCTCACAACCTTTACCACCGCTGCCCAGGGACTGCCGGACCTCCGCCTGCCGCCTGCCTCCGGACCTCCGGCCACCACCGCCAAAAAAATTCCAGATTTTTTTATGGAGGTCTGCCAACATTTTGTCGATGCCTGCCGTCGGCGCCGCCAGAAACCGCCGATTCCACTGCCGCCGAGCTGCCGCCACCTCCGGACTTCCCAACTACCAACGGACTGCGTTGGTTGTGCAAGAGAATGGGGGGGGGGGCAATTAATTGGGTTATTAATTGTCGTAGTTGCCGTCGTTGCCGGAATCCGCCGCTGCCGGAGTGCTGCCGCCACCACGAACTGCCCCACCACAGACGGACTGCCTTGATTGTGCAACGAAACTAGGGGGGGCAATTATTTAGATCAATTAATTAATTAAATAGAATTAGGGGTAAAAGGGGTAAGGTTAGTCCTATTTAGGGGGAAATGTGCATGTTGTCCTATTTTGGGGAAAAAGGTTGAGTTTTAGTCCAAGGACCCCCTCGGGTATGGTGTTTTGGACAATTTTCTCTTCAAAGGGGGTGTAAATGAATAACCAGTCAAGTCAAAATTTACCAAGTGAATTGAACGTTTGTAGGATCTCAACAGTATATATACCAATCACTCCAAGGACCCCCTCGTGGTATGGTGTTTTTGGCAGCATTCAACACAATGCTCGTATTAAGCATGAGGGTATTGTGATTAAATACGGCATATTGTCCAATTCTACTTCCATCCTTTGTTAACTTGTTCACAAATTCTCAAAATTTAAAATAATGAAACAAAAGATAAAAATAAAAAGGAAAGTCACTTATATAGGTTGAAAACTCAAAAAGGCACCCTAAGCAAAATTGTGGCAAAGAAAAAATGAGTAAGTTGGTGAGAAGAAAAAAATGAGTTAGGATGAAAACCAAATAGGCAAAATGAGGGAAAGACAAAGAACTTTTAATTTTTTGCTAGAGAAAGTTTTGTGTTTGAGTTCAAATAATCGGATACCCGACCGAACAGGACATACCTGATCGGGTGTTTTCTAAGAGCTTCACACAATTTTTCAAAGGAGACCGGGAACTAGAACAAAAATCCAAGCAAGGAATATAAACAAATACAAGTTTGGATGATCAAAAATTCAAAAGAGACTGTTCTCGGATGACCGAAGGTGAAAATCACATCGAAATGCATATACCGGTTGTTGCTTCATAACAAAGAAGCGCAGATATTTTAGTGAGACATTATAGTTTATTCCATTATAATTTCAAGCCAAAACGTAGTGAAATTTGGCACCATTGCAAATGATGGAAAATCGTTTTTGTGGTTTAAATAAAAGGTAAAAAATGTAATTTCATAACAATCAAGAATTACTATTAAGTATTTAAATCAAAGCACACAAGTTTCAAGTTTCAACCATGAGAATACAATGGGGAAACACAGTCACAAAACGAAATTGAAGAATACGAGTATTAGTCTATTAGATACTTCGTACAACCCAATCGTCTAACAAACAAGGGTTCAAAATTTGGTGCTCTTATATGCACATCCAGAATCCATGGAAATACAATTCTAAACTGGTGCAAATGGTCTTATTATATATATCCAGTAACAAATTAGCCAGTCGTTACTCTGGTATGACTCTATTTAGTTTCCAGATAACTTGTGCTTTTGGAGATGCGCGAGGGAATCTGTTCATCTCCCTTGTGATTTTGAGAGCCGCACATGCATCTAGCTGATCATCATTCGGTTCTATAATAATAACTTCCTCAAGCTTGGGAGACTTCGAAAGGATTATTTTGATTAAGAGCATTTCTGGTATTAATCCTCTAAATTCTTTCATCCTAACTATTTTAAGCTTGCACAGATCTTGATCACCAAACCATCTGTCTAAATTTTCCAAAACACTTGGAGACCACTGTGTGCACAACACAACAATGTAAAAGAAATATTAAAACATAAACACCCTGATATTAATCATCAAAATTCAAACACATAGGGCAATTGTTGGATATTAGAACCTCCTCAACTCCCATGTAAATTTCCAGTTGGCTGAGCTTGGGACATTTTTGAAGAAATTGAATAACAAGAAGCAAGCACTTCCTGCAAAAAAAGCATAACCCATCCAGCTCAATCGCTTGCAGATTTAATGCCATTGGCAACCTCTCTTGCACATTTAATCCATCAACATGATGGCCCTAAAATAAAGTAAAGATAGCAGAAAATAAAACAAATAGTTAACCTTGAGTGAAACCTATGTAGCACGAAACTCTCGGGAAAGAGTACGTTGTTTCCGTTTGGGAAACCCTACAGAAACTCTCCAACCAAACGTTTTTTGAGCAAAAATTGATGCTCTGTGTTTCCTCATGATTTTGGTGTTTCAGTGCAACACAGTACAGTGAAACAATAACTCTAACAAAGACGAGCTAAATATCAGATGTATCACCTCAATACATTATGAAAGAAACAACATTTTATGAAAGGCAAGATTCTCACCCCAAACGAATATGCAGAAAAGTGAAGAGTCTTGATCACTGGAACATGAACCTCAAACCACTTCCAATCAGTAAGCAACGAACAATCAGTGAAAGTAAGGCTTTTAAGCTTTGGAGCACTGACCACAAAATTATGAATGTCATCACATACATCAACAAAAAATCCACATATTCAAGTTCCAGAGAGTTGAAGTTTCTCGATACCATTTCTTGATAGAAAAAGACACCACAGATCTAAGTCGGGTTTCTGAAGAGTAGTTTCACTCATCTGCAGCCGAAATTTCTTAACTGGTCCAGAACGGAGAAAAAGAACGTTAGTTATCGTTTTCACCAAATTCGGGCATGCTCTGTCGTGTAAACCTTCTTCGAATTCCCAGTCAAAGACAAGCCGGCCGTGCCGCAACCAAACATGATGCCATTGAGTTGAGAGCAGAGCAGTTCTAGCAGCCTCCCGTGTGCTTAAGCACTCCAGAATTATGTGTTTTACATCTTCCGGCAGCTGACTTATTCGATCGCACCCAGTATTACTCCCACAATGACTAGCCATTAGAATATTGGATCAAAACAGCTCTCAAGTCTCAAGTAAGTAGCGTTATAAAGCCAGAAATGAGAAATGGAGCATTAGCACATTCATCCTCGTAGAAAATAAATTGCAGGGGAACACAACCGTGGCGACGATTTATATTCTCAATCTTTGATTGCATACAGAGTAGGAAGTATGTACATTTACCCACTCTTATACCCACTTTATACCCACCATATTTGTGAAGTGTTTTTTTGTCTTTGAACCCGATTCACAGACAATATTTTGTTTGTGCAAAATATTGTCTGTGAACTGGGATTCACAAGGAAAAAAAACACTTCACAAACATAGGTAGATACAAAAGTAGGTATAAGAGTGGGTACAAACATCATTTTTGTTTTCTTTTTAAATCGAAATTGCTTTTATTTGGAGTAAAAAGAAACAAAAAAGTTATTTTTAGACAGTAATACGGAGTAAGCGATGAGAAATTCCAAAAAAAGAAAATTCCCACTAGTATGCAAATATTTACTCCTATTTTTAGACATATCATTATTCTCTAACCTTATCATTATTATTTATATTTGAGAGTAATTACTTCTATTTAGAAAATGTCAATACCGTAATTTTATTTAGAATTTGGTGATTTTTTTTAACTTTTTACCTATATTTCAAGAATTTTCCCTAAGAAATAAGGACCACCACCACAGTATTACCAAATTAACTACTTTCTCCGTCCCCTAATTTAGAGCCCGTTTGGAGACCCCTTTTTTCGGCTTATCAGGCTTATCAGCCAGCTTTTTCACCAAACACGTAATTTTTACTTTCGCGTGCTGAATTGTGTAATAAGCAGAAAAAGTAAGGTTGGAGTTACTTTTCTGGCTGTATTGGCTGAAGTTATTGTAGATGACCATTTTAGCTATTTTTACATGTAATTTTTTCTTTATTTTATTAATAAAATATATTTTTAAAATATTTTTTTCTAGAATCAGCAGAATCAGCCAAAACAGCTACTTCAGCCAGAACTTCATAAATTTCAGCAGAAACAGCCAAAACAGCCGATTTTCGTACTACCAAACGAGCTCTAAAACTTTATCATCTTTTCTTTTTTGTTGTCCCACTAAATTTATCACTTTCTCTTTTGATTATCACTTGGCCAAGTTTTAAGTGACAACTAGAATATTAGTTTACTTTTGCAAACATATTATATTGTTTGAAGAAAAATAAAGGATGTAATTAGGTGAAGTGAAATTAGTAGTATCTATTTTGACATTTCAAATAAATAGCATATTCTCTCACTTGAGAACAGTTATGTGCGTGTATATTCTTTAAAGACACCAAATACAATCCTTAGTTTTAGGAGCTTCTTTCTCCTTCATGTAACCAAAAAGGCTATACATTTTATTTACACAAATATGTGACATTAAATTTGCTATACCAATTTAAAGTTGTATATTTACCCAAATATTCCTTTAAAAAAATAGGAAAACTAAATTTCACCCTTCAAACAAGAAGTTCTAAATTTGACCTATACATCTTTATCTTTATCTTTATATAATATAAAGTAATAGTCCTGCTACAACTATTGGAGTAAAATTCCCGCCTAAATAAAAGACATAATTGGAAATTAATGTTGAAGCTACAAATGGCAGCCCAAGGGAAAAACGGTAGGGTATAGATGGAAATGAAATATACGTAGTAATAATGAAGCATTTATTGTACACAAATCTTTATCAAACGATATATGTGTATTATATTAATCTGCAACCCGTAATATATTAGGATAAACGGTCAACCTACTATAAAAAGTGTACTCAACAAATTAACTTAAAATCAAAATAATGTATACCTAAATTTGCAATCTAGATATTATAGAACTATAAAAAAAGAAAAATGTTGCCTTATACGAAATATATGTTATATATGTAATGTACATATAAGTAATTACACCTAAACAATAAAAAAGCAATTACAACTACTTTAGATTGTTAAAATCTAAATAATCCATATTTTGTCCCATTGCATAAAAGTGCCTAAAATATTTTGTCCAAAGTTTGTATGATCCGCATCCCTAATCATAGTGAAAAACTTATTTTTCACTATGATTATACGGTTTTACAAATATAAATTTATTGAAATAAGTACATAATTTAAAATACTCTAAGCATTGTTTGGAGTACAAATATAAAAAATATAGTACTTTGAAAAATAGATGTGTTTTAAAGTATGATTTTTTTTTTTATCTTCATGTATTCAATATTGGTGTCATATGAAAGATAATTAAAAGTTATGATTTTGGATATATTTTTTGTAACAATCAGAATACAAATAAAAAAGTTGTATCACTTTAAAAAAATAGTTTTTAAAGATCATTTTTTGTATATCAATATTGGTATCATTTGAAAGAAAATAAAAAGTTATGAATTTTGATATAATTTTTATAACAATCTGAGAACAAATAAAAAAAAGTTATACGTAACATTTTAAAATAAACATGAGATTTTGTGTTGGTGGGAATGTGCGATCCTAAATATTAAATAACTATTTTAGTTTAATACTAGTGTCAAGCCCGGGGCATGCCCCAGTAGGACGTCAATTTGATATAAGTTAAAATGAAGAATGAAATAGATATTGTGAATTATTTATAAGATTCAAAGGAGATTATAATAGATTTTTATTATTAACTAATTTAAACATAACCAATTATAAATGTGTGTTTGTTAAATAATTATATTAAATTATCCATCATCATATATTATATATTTACCCTTCATTCTATATCAAGGTTTTAAATTGTGATCGCTTGCATGTTGCGGTCGATGCGGTGTAATTTTTTTTCAAGTTCAAACGAATTAAAAAGGGATATATCAACGTTGCCCCAGTGCGGCCCTGGCCTAATGTGATCCGATGCGGCCACATAATGACATAACGGGGTTTTTATGTAAAATGCCACAAGTACTTAATTTAAGAGTTTGCAGCAAGCTCATACCCTTGAATTATATTATGAAAAAATTACTCAAATATTACTATCTTAAATCTATCTAACAAATATATGACTAACGGTTAAAATAACAAATGGTTTCCCTACAATTACTCCCATGGTTCCATACGTGATGGGTAGTTAGTCATTTTTTGTAAACTCAAACTTTATTGCTAATATTTATGTAAAAATCTGCTCGATATATTATACCGAGTATATAAATAGATATAGATTATCGTAAAAAACAAATTTGCTAATCGACAAGACCTACTAGTCATGACTCATGAGAAGAGAAGAACGAAAAACAACAAATTCTTAGGTCATTTGCCAATAAATTAGACCAACCAACTACGCGCAACAAGTGAATCCAGATGATAAAATACTCATTAACACATCCTTTTCTTAGCATTTATGGGAAGAGAATCCAATGAGAGAGTTCCTGAGGTCGAAATTGACACGCGTCCCCTGCTGCTGCACGTTTCCGATGATCGACATCGAAGAAGACGAAGGAGCAAAGGCGAAGCAGTACGTCCCCGACGAGTCCACCGGAATCAGATAATTCGCCGCCGGCAACTGTAACCTATTCACGTCTGCGAAGTGAAACGACACCGTTGGAACTTCTACGCTATTCAAGTTCGACAAATCGTAACACGTGTCGAACAATGCAACGCCATCGGTTGACTTCAGGTGGCGCGTTCCCTTCACGAACTCGTCCCGGACGGCGTTGTAGATGTCCGTTTGCAACCGGGTCACTGCCGTACCGGAATCCACGATAACTCCGCCGTTTCCGTCGTCGGTGAGTTTCAGAGAGGGAGGGATGCGGATCAAATTCCCGGCGACGCTTACCGCCGTCAGGTCAACGTAGTAGAAAGTGTCCATTTTCGAGTTCCGGATCAACGGAGCGGTGACGGCGTCTGGAGGAGTGGCCGAGCCGAACTCGAGAGTTGAGGACGAGTCAGAGTCGCGGTCCACGAGGCAGTATGAGAATGAGGAGACATTGATCTGAGACGGAAACGACAATGCGCCGCCGCCGAGGCCGATTAGGCCGGCGGCTCCGACGAAGAGACCTCTATTGCTATGTCCGCAGCCAATCGCGACGTTTTTCACTGAAGACGACTCGCCGAAGGTTATGGATTCCGTGACAAGGTCGCCGACGGTGTAAGATCCGTCTCCGTAGTTCACCTGGTAGAGACACTGGTTGTTCCGGCACTCGGAAACCTCCAGCGATTCACACTGCCTGGCATCGCAAGTGACCGGGGAGTAAGTAGTAGACTTCGCCGGATCGAAAATCGGGTTAGATTGCCGGTAACAGTCGGCGCAGGGAGTGCACTGGAGCCAGTTAACATCACTTCCGGTGTCCAGCACCATGTAAACCTGACTCGGCGGGTGACCGATTCCAACTTGGCAGAAGTACTCGCCGCTGCCCTGGCTTGTTCCGGAAATAATGGGCACTTCCAGCTTCCCATCCTGCATCTCCAACTCCAGAGGCTCCAGATCTGCTTTTGAAATCCCGTTAAGCGCCAGATCTAGACGAATCTGAAGCGATTGCACTCGGGCCGAGTCGCGCTCGAGTCGTGCTAATGTGAGTGCCCTGTAATCCTTCTCCGAGGTTGATCTAACGGACAGTCTAGGGTGCAGTGTTAGGGAGAAGGAAGAAGAAGAATAAAAGCTCTGTTTCTGATCTTCAATGGATTCCTCTCCTTGAGAAGTGAGCTTGAACACACCGAGTGTTTTCTGGATAGAAGATGGAATGTGGAGCGACGTCGTTCGTGAGTCGTCCGGTATTACCCGTGAAAGAACGGGTGTTAAAACACAAAGAAGGAAGACGGGGAGAATATATGAAAGACCGGCCATCGGAGAGTTGAAGTGGTGAGAAATGAAGAAGTCACAACGGCGGTCTGTGGCGCTGTTGTAGGCGAAACCCTTCGAGTTTAGAGGTGTACTATATTTACAGCGGGGTAGGGAGTAAAGGGTCAGTTTGGTCCTCGAAGTTGCAAAAAAGGGGTCACATAAGTCCTTATATAGAAGATTCTGTCCTGACGTGCCATTTGAGGTGGCTCCCGATAGACTTTTTCGATGAAATGTTTTGAGCATCTTATTCATTAAGTCTAGCTTACTCATACC